TCGATTTTTTGGATACATACCCAGAAAGTAGGATTGTTGAATCATAGTATTTTTAGCTTTTGAGAATCCTCACAGCAGCTGCACCACTTTACATTCCACACCAGTGGAGTACAAAGATTCTGATTTTTCCATAGAATTGCCAGCACTTGTTATTTCTGATTTTTAGTTTTTGAGTTTTCCTGTTTTGTTTTTTCGTAATAACCTGACCCATCTTAAATCCTCTTTACTGGATAAGATATAAACAAGGGAATGACAAATTCTCTTATTTGATCCTCAAAACCTCTTTGCAGGTAGGAGTCATGCATATGGGTAACCAGGTATGTGAAGGTATCTGTCTCAGGTCACATATGAATGGCTTCACACACTTGTTCAGTTATCCTACATGTAATAATAGGAGTCAACATGTGTCAAGTACATCCTAGGGGCCAAGCAGTTTTCAGTGTTTTCTACATATTATTGTGTCTTTGTAAGAATTCTAGAATGTAGGCTCTTGCATTTAGGATCTCATCTTTAAGGAAAACAGGTGGAAGGACAAATGATTTGCTCAGGGTAGAGCCAGCTGGGCGTGGGGGAAACGAGGATCCACACCTGGAACCTCATCCTCCAACCCTCAGACTCACAAGCGCTGCACCATTTCCAGGTAGCTTCCTCATGTCTGACAGTCGAGAGGAGAGAGGCAAGGACAGGGGGTGCAGGTGTGGAGGCGTTAATCAGCTCCAAAGAGAGTCAGCCCCAACTTGCAGAACACAGGCAGGACAGAACTGGAGTGTGATCACTGCTGTGGAAACTACATCTTCACAGGTCTTCAGACCACACACTGGTCTCTGTCAGAGCCTCTAGAATCTACACAGGTGTGACCATGCCGCCTCCTGGCTGAGCTCAGCTGCAGGTGCTACACACCCAAACTTTAACCCGTGGGTGTCTGGCTGCCCAGTATACTGGGTTGCCATTTTTGGATTGAGCACCTGCCAACTTCCCAGCCTAAAACCCCCCTTCCTTCCCTGCTTGGGATTGGCCCACGACATTGGGTAGCTTCTTATTGGAAACCTTTAAGCAGACAAGTTCTTAATGGGGCTACTTCTTATCTTTCTAAGGGACGTGTACAGGGCATTTCTTGTTAGCTATTTTGCATCAGTTTCTTCTCATACAGGAATCAGCACCCTGATTTTGGCTTATCTTTCCTCTGTTGAGTCCATAAAGTTTAGGGAGGGCTGACCCATTCCATCCTTCCTACCTCAACTTCAGGTGTAGACACATGATCTACCCTTTGTCCAGCCATCACCCTGGCCAATCATTGTGCTACTGTAAGTTATTGGCCAAAGGCCTGTGAGATTCAATTTGGGGACTTTTGTTGCGATTATTGGGAAAGAAAAACTTCTTTGTTCTGAAGACGTTAAGCTGGTGGGATATAGATCTAGAAGTGAAGGGGATTGTCACTGGAGAACGAAGGCCATACAAAGGAAAGCAGAGGTAAGATAGGGAGACAAAGGAATCTAGTACTAGCAATAGCATTACGTCCTCTGGATCCAGCCATACCTGATGCCAGAATATCTTCTATAACAAGCCTTCCTTCCTTAAGCTCATCAGCACTGGATTTTTCTTTGTCATCACTAAGGGAGAGTGGACTAACAGAGGAGATCATCCCTCTAGCTGCTGCCAGGAAAGCAATGTGGAAAGTGTATTTTGATCTCTTGGTTCTTTCGTCTTTACTTTGTGGATTTTTTTCAGGAGCTTTTTAGAAGCCTTGCAGTCATATTGTGTAGTATAAAGTTTCTTACCCCTTCTTAATACAACCACAGGTTAGGGAAATACCATTAAATAGTACATGCCCCATGTACACTGTGGCCGTGGGAATGGGGCTGAATTTAAATAATCTGGCAAAATAGGGCTCTGCTAGCAAATATCGCTGTCCATAATGGTCCAAGTGCAGCATTTTGCCCATGTTATGTCTTTATTCTCAAAGCACAAACTGTGCTGTGACTGTTAAAACTAGGTCTCTAGGTCTGCATCCAACATCTACTGAGACCTCCTATGTCAGAACCAATTGGGCCATCAGTAAGCAAAGAACCAACTCATAAATCAACTCTTAGAGGAAAGGATACCTGCCATCCTCTATGCCTAGAAGCATGTTCTCACTCAGCAAACTGTCATCAAAGATTTAGGGAAGTTCCACCCTCCTTTTCCATCCTGACACCTTTGGGATTTGGGCTTCCATCATCTGTAGGATCATCTGTCATGGTTTTAAGATAGCAGCAGCTCCTGGCATTGTGTCTTCCCAGCAACACCCAATGGCCAGGAGCTTCCTCTGTGTCTTTGTTTAAAAAAGTAGGAGGACACTTGCCCTCACAATTCATCAGCCAGAACTAAAATCTTGCTGAAGAAGGAAATAATCGTGGCTGGCCAGGCTTTTGATCAAGATGCAGCCTTTGAAGATGTAGGTGCTCCTAGCTTATCACAAGCAGGCCTGATGCCTGACACCGAGTTTGGGTTCCACTGGGGAGAAAGAGGTAGGGAGTGGGAAGGGCTACTGGGGAGCATGAGCCATTCATTCTATCCTGCACACATTTTGTGGTGCACTTAATTGTGAAAGAGGGGGAAAAAATCCTCCTCCTCTCTTTCTTGGATTAGGAAGACCAAGTTATTTGGAGAGAGGAGTGACCATGCCAAGGGAAAAAAATAAACACAGAAATTCCCCTAGGCCTGCCTGCCCCTCCCTCTCTCTCTCTCTCTCTCTCTCACATATACACACACTCCCACTCCCACTCCCTCCCCCTCCCACCGCAGGGTTAGTGATGTGGAGTATCTCACGTCTCCCACATCTGCCAACCTTGGAGCGCTGAAATGAGGGGGCGCCAGGTGGCAGGACTCTGCTGCCTCAGAGTCCTTGTGCAAAACAGAATCCCGTTTAGATGTTTCATCAGAGCTCTCTTATTAAAGTCACTATTTACTAAGCTTGGTTAGGTAAGAGAACTGTCAAGGGCGGTTGAGGCACCCAAGACTAACATCTGTGGGAAGACATAGGAACATTTAGTCTGAAGATATGAGAAGCAGAAACAGCTTTTGCGGGGGCCATTGAGAGCAGAAACAGTGGAGGAAGGGCCATCTGGAGGGAGCTGTGGCCTGGAGAAGACAGGACCCAATGTGATGCCAGAGTGGGACAGATACAGTCCCCTGCCTCTTCCACTCCCCATCCTCGGATGCTCTGCTGGGGCCAGAGTGCAGTGGCGGGATCTAAATGTAGCCACTGAGAAAGGAATTGCGACCCAGAGATGTGGACCATGGAGGTCAGCATCTCAGGGATAGAGTTGGGCATAGATGGATCTGGTTGGAAAGGTAAACAGGTGGATGGGGACGATGTACCCCAGCCAGAGCTAGTTGGGCCTTTACAGCCAGTGGCTCCGTCCCACAATCGGCAGTGAACTTTCTTGGCTTCCTTTTGACTCTTCTCACAAGTCTCCTATTCCGCTCAACATCTCCCCCGCTTCAGTCCCCTCTCCTACTCTCCAGCTCTTTGTCTGGTTCAGTCCCCTCTCCTATTTCCCAATCCTTGTCTGTCTGCCATTCTTCCTTCTGCATTCAGCATTCTCCTGTTCCTAGAATCTTTCTCAGCTTAACAAGGTCCCAAGTTTCCATTGAAAATGCAGAGAGCTCTTTTATGTAGTTTGTCATTTTCAGTACTTAATGGGAGGACTCAGGTAGGACTTTTCCAATTGTGAAACTTTGAACATTGCTTGGGACTCCCTTTTCGGCTCTTGATTAGATGGAAACCAGATTTCTCTAGGACTCATTTTCATCAATGCTTACTATTTACATCCTATAGGAAGAGGAAAAAATAATCCCAAATCTACCATAAATATTGTAAGTCTGTTCTTAGAATATGCTCATTGATGGATTTCTTCATTTCCTTTCACTGTCACTTTTGTATTTGGATTCAGCGTGCAATGCTAAGAGATGGTACCACACTCAAGCAACTCTTGGGACCCATCTGAAAAGCTGCATTTCCAGCTGGATGAAAGAAAGCCACTCAAATAGTTGTACACCATGACTGTGGCTGGCTAATGTGCCAGATAAATCAGCCTCCTATTAAAATTATTGGTTGTTGGGGCCAATGCTGTGGCATGGCGGGTAAAGCTGCCGCGCCCACAGTGCCGGCATGCCATATGGGCGCCAGTTCAAGTCCTGGCTGCTCCACTTCTGACCCAGCTCTCTGCTGTGGCCTGGGAAAACAGTAAAAGATGGTCCAAGTCCTTGGGCCCCTGCACGCGCGTGGGAGACCCGGAGGAAGCTCCTGGCTCCTGGCTTTGGATCAGCTCAGCTCTGGCCTCTATGACCATCTGGGGAATGAACCAGTGGATGGAAGACCTCTCTCTCTCTCTCTGCCTCTCCTTCTCTCAGTGTGTAACTCTGACTTTCAAATCAATAAATAGATCTTTAAAATTATTGGTTGTTACTCATGCCAGCTCCCAAATAAGGAGAATTCCTTGTGGCTCTGGCTACAGTTTTCCAAACAAGAACTCTAACTTTTCATCAGAAGGAAAGAAGATTGTTTCCCTTTCAAGAATGGAATTTTATTGTCTTGGTTAAGACCTAAAGCATCTATTTAACAGCCTTGCAATGTGCTGAGATCTGTACAGTGACTCATGTGGACACGGAGATGAGTTTCACCCCCTTTGAAGTCTAAAGCTGCCCAGCTGCGGGCATGAACAGCAACATGCAGTCGGGAATCATAAACTGTTCCCGAGTTCGCCTTAATGATTAAAAATGCCTGCCTGTGGTGTGTCAGCAGCTTGTAAACTCATAATTGGTGTGAGGCTACTGTGGGTCTAGTTGCCAATAATGTGTTAGCGTTAGGGTCAGAGCACCCAGTTAGGACGGTAGTGAGTGAGTACAAGATCACTCATGTTTGGGTGGAATGTTCTTGAACACTGCGGTGTATTCTGACACGGGAGGAACGGTTTCCCAGGTGATGCTGCCTTCCCCACGTGCTGTGTGCAGAGCCATGAAAAAGTCACAGTGCGCCAAAGCTGGGTGCTTCTGGAGGGAGACAGGGCTGGTGGAGTGCCAGGTCGCTTGCCACCGCTGTGCTGTCACAACTGCACACTGGTCACTCTGGCTAACATGCCATTTCCATTCAGAAGCCAGCATCTGCTTCAGTTGTACGTGGCCGCTGTCCAGAGCTGAGTCGGGAGTGGCAGGCTACAGGTGTCTGTCCTGCCTCTCGGTTGCTCAGTTATGCATCTCATCAGCATTTCCTGTGTCAGTACTTGGTACTGCTTGTGTAAGTCCCCATTCAGGCTATGTCGCTCCCTTCTTTTCATTCCCCCATTCTCGCGGGAGCTATTTATGATGAGTTGACTATGGTGAAAGTACTATTTAAGATGCTGGGGATCCCCGCAGTAAGCAAGATAAATAAGGTCTCTGTTCTTGTATATTCCTGTTGATGAGATAAGGGAGTAGACAAACAAACAATATAACTTTACATAGCACTGTGAGATTCGAAGGAAATAAAATAGGGCATCAGCGTAAGTGGCTGAGTGGGGATGGAGGCATGGCCACAGTGGATAAAGCAGTTCTCTCAGAATATGTGAATTTCATCCTGGGATCTAAAAAATGAGAGGATGATTTGAGTGAGGAGTACTCAGGGTTATGGCATCATTGTTGCAAAAAGTGCTCAGGCAGAGATGCACTTAGCTTATGGCAGGAACAATACCCATAGCATTCGTAGAATCTGTGTCTGGCTCTTCCTCGTGAGCAGGAAGGTGCTGGGAGGAGATTATTTCAGGGGGCATCAGGAGCTTGTTAGGTGGACCACGGTGAGAAGTCAGGACTTCATTCAATTACACGCGTGTCCATTCACATCCTTCTCTTCCTCACTTCCCTGCTTGTGAGTTGACTGTGGTGCAAGTTCCTTAGTTCATCAGTATAATTGTGCCCTTGAAAATACCCTTTCCTTTCCTGTTAGTTGTCTGTTGCTGCATCACAAGCACTAACCAGTTAAGCAAAACGTTAGTGGCTTAAGACGAGAAGAGTTTGTTGTTTCATACAGTATTTGTAGATCAAGAATGCAGTAGAGCTTAGCTGGGGGCAGCTGCCTGAGGCTCTCTCCTGAGGTTTCAGTCAGACCTCAGCTAGCACCCTAGTTGCAAGAGACCGGAACGTGGCTGGAAGATTAATTTCCCAAGCTGAGTTACTTACATGCCTGGTAGCCAGTCTTGGAGGTAGGCAGGAGGCCTCTCTGTAGGGCTTCGTAAATGTCCTCACGAGGTGGTGACTGCTCAAGGAGAGTGATCTGAGAGAATGCAAGGTCAGTGTTACAGTGTCCTCTGTGATGTAGCCTTGGAAGTCACACATCATTGTTTTCACAGTTTTCTGTTGGTCGCACAGGCATTCTTAGTGTGGGAGAGGAAGGGACCACACAAAGGCATGGACATCAGAGGCAAGGACCACTGCAGGCCACCCTGGATGCTGGTTGATCACCCTCCTTTCTTCCATCCTTGCAGAACAGCAGCCCTGGGAAATCTGAAGCTTTGTAGCCACACCCAGACCATGGCGGAGTGCGCCAACATGTTGATCTGGGCATGATCACAGATATCAAGTGGGATCTAAGTTCTGCCTGTCCCATGGCAGATTGCTCTTTTGTTAAAGGTGGCATTTCCATATCTTCATCTCCCGCACACCTCTTCCTAGTCCTCACTGTTAGAGGCCTTGCTTCTGATGAAACAGAAGCGTCAGAATAATTCTGTGTCCTTTCATCCACAAATAACCAATCTGTACAGAGTTTATTCTTTCTTCCTCTACTTTTGACTTCTTTCCTTCTCTTCCTCTTTACTATTTTTCTTTGGTCTGTGTTTTGGGATTTTGTCACTCCCCCGCCTCCGCGGAGGAACGACACCAGACACTGTTTTCTTTCCCCGGTCCTTCCCAGATTCGCTCCGCACCCCCGCCTCCGCTGGTGTCTCTCCCCCTTTTATAGTCCTCTCCCACCAATCCGTGCTCTGCTGCCCGCGTGCTGAGCACACCGCTTTCCTCCAATCAGAGGTTGGATCAGGAATCAGCTAATTGACGAAACAGATGTGTAAGATTTGTTTACTCCCTCTCAACGCCATATGGTGGGAGACCAGACGCATAGAGTTAGTTTCAGTCCACAGTCTCAGCACTTATTTATTTGTCTCCCGGGCACCCCGCCATGTTGCGGGAGACGGACCCTGCTCCCCACAGGATTTGTTTAAGAAATTTACTTCTCATTGATACTTTATTAAGCCTTGTTTGAAAAATCAAATACCTACAGGGGCAGGCAAGGAACATAATTTAGTGAATTAGGCTCAGGAGGGAACTGTGGTGAACTGAGGACACGTGGCCTGTGCAAAGGGACTGTGGCGAAGCCAAATCAAACACACTTGCAGGGCAAATCCAGCCAGTAGCGTTTTGACCTCTGACTTCAGCAAATATTAGAATAAACTCATAACAGATATTCTTTGTAGTGCTCCTAGCTAATAGTGGGATGAAGTGCATAGGACCAAGGTTAGGAAAGATCTTAGAGTAGGAGAAATCAAACTTACATGAACAAAAGTCCACATATGAATATAGAAAGGTAAGTACATACGTATCTATGTGCATGTATGTGCAAGCAATCAAAGTTGTAGTCACAATTATGCAGTTATGTGTTGTGGATCTCTGGAAACATAGCAACCACATACACAATGTAATATAATGAGATGAATCATAAGGTGGTTATAGGTAGTCCTATCCTTGGGTACACATATTTTTTAAAATAAGATTTATTTGTATTTATTTGAAAGGTAGAGGAACAGAGAGAGGGAGAAACAAGGAAGGAGATGTTCCATCTGGTGGTTTACTCTGCAGATGGCTGCAATTGCTGGAGCTGGGCCAGGCCAAAGTCCGCTGTCAGGAGTTCCATCTGGACTTCCCATGTGATGACAAGGGCCCAAGTACTTGGACCATCATCGTCTGCCTTCCCAGGCATATTAGCAGAGAGTTGGATTGGAAGTAGAGCAGTCAGGACTTGAATCTGCCCTTTAATATGGATGCTGGGGTCACTGGTGGCAGTTTAAACTGCTGTGCCACAATGCCGGCCCCGAGTACAAGTGTTTTTAGAGGATTCTCTGCAAATAATAGAAGTTAAAAGAAGAAATTCTAGTCAACACCATCAGATTCCAGAGACCCAAACCGACTCAGGATGGGAGATCATTTTGTTAGCTGGTGACACCATCCCATCCACTTAGGAATGAGTTCATGGGAGTTTGCCTGGGTGAACTCCTCCAAGGTTTTCTTCCACTTTGCACAGGTTGTGTTTGCTTTGTACACACCTGAAACCCAAGCACACTAGAGCTGTCCCTTGCTTTGCATGGTTCTTTAGTGACTGACCTGTGATCTCTTTACCATGTATCTCAGTCTGTGTGGGCTCCTGTAACAAAAAACCTCAGATTGGGTAATTTATAAAGAACAAAAATGTCTTGTTTGTATTTCAGGAGGCTGAGAAGTCCACGATCAAGGTGACAACAGCTTTGGTGTCTGCTGAGGGCCTGATCCCTGCTGCAGAGGCGGAGTCTTCTTGCTGTGTCCTCCATGATGGAAGGCGGTAAGGATGCTCTCCTGTTTTTCAAAGGCACAAATCGCATTTGTGAGTGAGAAGTCATTGAGACATAATCATGTCCCACAGGCACCGTTTAGTACTACTCTTACATCAGCTGTGAGGTTCTGAGGAGTGGATTTTTGGGGACACCAGTATTGAGACCACAGCACCATGGAACTGTGCAAAGTGAGGGAGGGGTTTCCCCTATGCAGTGATTTTGTTTTGCCACAATACCATTTAAAGCAAGAACCCTCTGCATCAGTAAATCAAGGCAGCTTGTCTCTCCATCACTTTCAGTATTGAATACAGACTTAGCTTGTGCCTAATATTTTGATGATGTTAATTTGTTCTCAGATTCTCATTTGGGGTCATGAGTTACAGTCGTGGTGGGCTCATGCTCTGGAGCCCAAAGAATATTTGTTCAAAGGTCAGGTCTTCCACTTATTAGTTCATGACCCGAGGTATATTTCTTAACCCCTCTAAGCATCTGTCTCCTCATCTGAAACAGAGTTAACCCTACCTCATAGCTCATGATTGATGTGAAGATTACAGTGAGGCTATGCTAATAACAAATTTAGCCATATGAATGACTTAATAAATTCTCAGCCACTTCTCCTTAACAGTATTTCTTTTACCATGAGCACATAACACAGCTATGCTGTGAAGTGTTTGTCTGTAAGTTGCTGACATTCTAACATGTCTGGGAAGTCAGGTATGCAGTCCACTTGGATTGGAGTTACAGTGACCTTGGTGATCTTGATTATGGTGTCCCTGGTAATGCATAGTCAGGATGTGAGGTGCTAGGGCCTGTCATGAGAAATTCCCCTCCAGTTTGGTAAAATCTGGCAGGCTCGCCATTCTCCCTTGTGATGCGATGTGAGTCAACCTTGGACCAGCTCAGCAGGAGCATCTAAGTTCAGCCCCGATGCAAAATCAAATCACTCTCAAAGTTAAAGAATGACCTAATGATTTAGGTATTTATATCAAAAGGTGTTAAAAGATGATTTAGAACATGATGAAGGGTAAAATGTAGGATTTCATTTCTTGTTGGTCTTCTGGGAAATGAGGCAATGAGCTTTTAAAGACCATTCATTTATTCAGCTAAGGTTGTTGAGTATCTACTCTGTTCCACATATGAGTTTAGTTTCTGACAAGGTAGCTGAGAGCAAAGCTCCCTGAGCCCCAGCCTCCTAGTGCTCACAACTCAGTCGATAGCTAGGCGAAGCAAACAGCGTTCGTTGCTCAGCTTGGTGAGCCTTCTGCAAGTTGTTGGAAGTTGCTATAAATTTGCAAGATTTCCATCAACACACATAAATTAATTACATTAGTGGGAGGGAAGGAAAAGAAATATAATTCTTTTTAAATAAAACTTGTATTGCATTAATCAGTAGCTGCCCATTTATCTAATAATAAATAAAAGTGAATAACTTGTTGAGATAAAGGTGTTTCCCAAAGCCATTGTTTAGAACTGAGCAACCAACTGGGTGAATTAATATCATGGTTATAAGTCATTTTTCTTTCTGAGTGCTCATACAACAGCCATGGAACTGTTTACGATGTGTGGTAAATATTTTAGTAATGATTAGATCCCCAAAGCAATTTCAACACTGGTGTGGAAATTGACAGATTCTCTAAGCTTTGCTTCAGAGACAGGTGAAATTCCTTCTGAATTGGGTAAATGGAATGCATTCTGTTAACTACACCTTTTGTTACAATTAATTCAATTGTTTCTGTGGTTCATAGCTTGGTCAACTGGGCAAGCCAATTCTTTGTCCCATTGCTAATCCATAATGAAGATTTTGATCTCCAACAATTAATAACCCATTCCCACTCATCTTGGAAAGTTAATGACTGTGAGGGTGGGCATTTTTAAAATTGTTTGTATAGGTCTCTAGGGAGACAACAAATGTTTGTGGGATGAATATCTGTTCCTTTAAAAATTCTCATCTCCATGAATTAAGTTTGCATCTAACAGTTGAAATGTTGTAGTATATTTTAATGGAATCTCCACAGAGAAAAATTCTAATGATAGAGAGCTGGAACCCCAAAGTAGACACTTGGCAATGTCTGGTGACATCTTTGATGGTCACAACTGAAAGGGGAAGCTGGTGTCTTATAGGAGGTTGAGGTCAGAAACACCACTAAATATCTATAGAGTGTGCAGGGCAGTGCCCCAACAATAAAGAATTATCTGGACTTAAATGCATATTTGCTGAGGTTGAGAAGGCCTGATCCAGAAGAAATGCTTTGTGAAGATAGGGGCTAGTCTGAATAATTCCTTCCTTCTTCCCTTCCTCCCTTCCTCCCTTCCTCCCTTCCCTCCCTTCCTTCCTTTTTTTTAAAAAGATTTACTTATTTATTTGGAAGTCAGAGTTACGGGGTGGGGGAGATCTTCTACCCGCTGGTTTGCTCCCCAGATGACCACAATGGCCAGGGCTGGGCCAGACCAAAGCCAGGAGCCAGCAGCTTCATCCTGGTCTTCCACATGTGTGGCAGGGGCCCAAACACTTGTGCCATCTTCCACTGCTTTTTCCAGGCCATTAACAAGCTGCTGGATCAGAAGTGGAGCAGTGAGGACATGAACTAGCGCCCATGTAGGATGCCAGTGTTGCAGGTGGAGGCTTTACCTGCTGTGTCACAACACTGGCCCCTTTTCAAAAAAAAAAAAAAAAAATCCTATGGAAGGAAGTCAGACCTTAACGTCTACGATCAAAGTCCCAGATCCATGTCCAGTGTCCTCCCTGCTAGGCAGATGACTTTCTCTAAATTTATGCAAATGTATTTGCATCCTGGGGTTGATAATAGTGTTGTTTGTTGCTATGATGTTCATTTAAAATTAAGCAATATATGCAGAGGGATGGACAGTTGGCACCTAGTGAGCACTTCAGCAAACGACAGCTTTTGTCGCTGCTGCTGCTGCTGTTGGTCTCTGTATGGAGCACAGTGGTGGTTATCTCCGAGGTGGTCCCAGTGGTCCTTCCACAATGTTCCAGCTCTTGTGTGTCCCAGTGCCACCTTCACCAGCCCAGCCCTGTGTAGCCAACAGAATGTTGCAGACGTGGCATGGGACACCTCCAAGCTCTGTCTTGATAGAGAATGTGGTTCTTTCTTGTTCTTTCTTGGCGCCTTGTCACCAGAGGTGATCCCTATATTGAGCACTCAGCCTTCCTGCCAATAGCCAACAACTTGCCTTTTGCCAGCTTGGAGTTTTGAAATCCATGTGTGATGTCTTCCATGAACTTTCTGAAAACCCCACATATGCATGATTTACAGATTTTTTTTCCAAACTATTAAAATTCCACTCTGCATGAGCTTTTTGAAATACCCACATATAAGTACCTTACATTGCTTCTGTACCAACTGACTTAATGTTATCTTCCTTTTTCCAATGAGGAGAAAAAGCAAGTTATTAAATCAAATAGAAAAAGATAGTAGGATACTTCTGGTTCTGTTCCTTTTGTGAAGAAATTAAGACTTAGGAAATGAAGCGCCTTGCTCCATTAATCCAGTTACAGGTCATTTGATTGGGCAGCAAGTGTGAGTCTCTGGCCGAGGAGGACTTGGGTTGGAAGCCCAGATGTGCTACTTTACTTTCTAGGGTAGTGACATATCTGTCAGTTGATTAAATCTGGGGATATCGGTAGTTTGATGAAGTTGTTTTGGAAATTACATATAAAGTGCTTAGCACAATGGGAGGCTGTGGTAAGTGGATAACTGTGTTAAAAATTTTTTTTATTTTTATTTTATTTTATTTTTTTGACAGGCAGAGTGGACAATGAGAGAGAGAGATAGAAAGGTCTTCCTTTGCCGTTGGTTCACCCTCCAATGGCTGCCGCGGCCGGCGCACTGTGGCCAGCGCACTGCGCTGATCCAATGGCAGGAGCCAGGTACTTCTCCTGGTCTCCCATGGGGTGCAGGGCCCAAGTACTTGGGCCATCCTCCACTGCACTCCCTGGCCACAGCAGAGAGCTGGCCTGGAAGAGGAGCAACCAGGACAGAATCCGGTGCCCCGACGGAGACTAGAACCTGGTGTGCCGGCGCTGCAAGGCGGAGGATTAGCTTAGTGAGCCGCGGCACCGAACATTAAAGTTTTTTTATGAGATGAGATGAGATGAGATGAGATGAGTTTTTTAGACCTTTCACAGTAAAAGTCCTAGATCCCTGTCCGCACTCCTCTGTACCAGGTAGGTGACTCTAGACGTGTGTCTTAATTTACCCAAATTCACCAGGTGTTTATGGAATGAATGTTCTTGTTACAGAGGTGAGGTTTTTATAAGTCGCCTGTTTTTCTAGTCCACATCCTTGCCATGTAAAGCCTGAGGTAAGAATCCCAAAGGTGCATCCCAAGGGTTGTGAGATGTGCTGGTTTTGACATTTTGTGGAGGTCGGTATTAGTGTCATGTAAGTTATAGGGTGGGGGTTGGTGTAAGTCCCTTCGTTTTGATGGGAACTATTCCAGGCTCTATGTTAAATTCCTGAGTCTGTAGACATCAGGGGGAAGAGAAAGAGGGAGGGAGAGAAAGAGAAAAGAGAGAAGAGAAGGGAGAGGAGAGGAGGGAAGAAGGAGAGAGGTGACAGGGGAGAGAAACATAGGGTAGGAGGGAAGGAAGGATGGAAATTAAATCATCAAGCAATGAAATGAGAAAGAAAAACAGAAGCTTTGTTATTTCAAAGAACTAAAATCATAGATTCTTCTTGAGATACACGGCATAAAAATGATGTTAAGAATAGAAAGAACACTACAATTATAGTATTTTTAAAGTCACAAGAGAAAACACTAAGCCAAGTATGCACCAGTAAGCTTATAAATTTAAATGAGACTGACAATTTTCTAGAAAAATGATGCTTACTTAGACTGACCCAAGAGGGAAAATAAAATCTGAGTAAATCAATAGCTGTGAAGGATTAAGCAGTGGTCAGACGTCTCCATGTCCGTGCTGGGACTGGCTCCAGGCACCTGGGCCTCCGCCTGGGAAGTGTCACAGGGCCCCTTGTTTGGGAGAGCCCTGTACTTGGTCTAATGCTTTGCTCCCACTATCTGAAAATCCTTACTTTTTTAAAAAGTAAGAAGCCTCTCATTTTAGCTAGTACTGGGCCCTGCATACTATTCAGAGGGTCCTATCCATGCTCATATAGTTGTACAGATGAGTTGTATAACTTCTAAGGTACAGAAAAATCCAAAAACTTTTCTGAAAACAGGAAAAGGAGTTACTCAGTTCACTGAAGAAGATTCATGTTATCTGTGCGGGCGTCCAAGATCTTGAGTCACTTAGAAACTTCTGGTTAAAATGTGATTTCATGAGGTCTGCCAGCATGTGAATAACTCCGTAGTCATTCATTACCTAAGCAGTTTGCTTCTGACCTGTGCGACTGAATGGTCCTCTCTGCAGGCGAGGTTGTTTTCTGGTTTATTTTCCGGTCCCAACAAGAACGTGCTAGACAAGCACCTCCGTTTGTCCTGGGTTAGTTGATGAGTTAACCATTCTAAACTCTTCCGGCACTTGCAGACTTTTAGAGTCTTAATATGAATTTTTTTTCCAGGTCACTTGTTAGTGAACCTTGGAAAGATTTGGCAAATTGACTCGGTGCTTGTCCAAAGACAGACTCAGCATCATCTTCCGGAAGCTCTAAGAAAAACAGAAAAGGTGGAATTGTATCAGAATCTGTGAGCACAGTGGCAACATGTGTGTTATTCTGCGGTGTGTGCGGCTCTGCTCTGGCTAACTGTTTCTCTAGAAGTGACTGGGAGATAATCTTTGCACCTTTGGGGTTATGGTTTCAGTTGTTCCCTTGCACTAATGATCTCTTTTTGCCACTAAAGAAAACCAAAACCAACCAATGGTATCTCAGAAATATCAGAGTTTTGGTTCATTTTGAAAAGATTATTGATTTATTTGAAAAGCAGAATGATAGAGAAGGAGAGACACAGAGAGATCTTCCATTCGCTGGCTCTCTTCCCATAGGCAATAGTCTGGACTGTACCAGGCCAAAGCCAGGAACCGGGAACTCCATCTGGGACCCCCACCTGGGTAGCAGGAACCCAAACACTTGAGCCATCATCTGCTGCCTCCCAGGCACACTACCAGGAAGCTGGATTGGAAGCAGAGGCAGGACTTGAAACCAGGCCCTCTGATATGGGATGCAGTGACTTGACCCGCTGTGCCATAGCACCCACCCCAGGGCCTTTCTTTTTACCCAGCTTTGTGTTTTCTTCCTTGCTTTCATTTTTTTTCATTTTCAGTGAAAGTGAGACAACTTTTATAGGAGGTTTTCCTACAGTAAATTGCCCCTGGGATAAAAAATATTACAAATATTTGAGAACAGTGGTTTCAAGAGAATTTGCTCCAATTTAGGTAGTAAAAAAGAACAAATCCCAGTATGAAACGTGGGATGAGCTTGTCCTTCTAGTGATTAACCTGTGGGGAACGGAGGACCTCTGGGAGGGAGTAAGAAGCAATTCCCATAACATGAAAACAGAATTCTTTTGACATCGACCCAGTGTGTGAATCTGTCAAAAGTAAGTCTCAGGGGCCCGGCGCCACAGCGCAGTAGGTTAATCCTCCTCGCGAGGTGCCAGCATCCCATATGGGCGCCAGTTCTAGTCCTGGCTGCCCTTCTTCCAATCCAACTCTCTGCTGTGGCCTGGGAAAACAATGGAGGATGGCCGAAGTGCTTTGGCTCCTGCACCCGCTTGGGAGACCGGGAGGAAGCTTCTGGCTTCTGGCTCCTGGCTTCAGATCAGCACAGCTCCAGCCATTGCAGCCATCTGGGGAGCGAACCAGTAGAGGGAGGACCTTTCTCTCTGTCTCTCCTTCTTACTGTGTGTAACTCTGCTTTTCAAGTAAATAAATAAAATAAAATAAAAATAAGTGTTGGGGCCAGTGTTGTGGCACAGAGGGTAAAGCTGCCTCCTGGGACCCCAGCATCCCATGTGGGTACCAGTTTGCATCCCAGACGCTCAATTTCCTAACCAGCTCCCTACTAATGGCCTGGGAAAAGCAGCAGAAGATGGCTCAAGTGCCTTGGCCCATGCCACTCATGTGGGAGACCCAGAAGAAGCTTCTGGCTCCTGGGTTTGGCCTGGCCGAGCTCTAGCTGTTACAGCCATTTGGGGGAGTGAACCAGCAGATGGATGATCTCTCTGTGTCTCTCTCTTTAAAGATTTATTTTATTTATTTGAAATATATTTGAGTTTCAGATAGAGATAGAGACAGAGAGAGAGGTCTTCCGTTTGCTGGTTCACTCCCCAGATGGCCACAATGGCCAGAGCTGTGCCGATCCGAAGCCAGGAGCCAGGAGCCAGGAGCTTCTTCTGGGTTTCCCACGTGGTTGCAGGGGCCCAAAGACTTGGGCCATCTTCCACTGCTTTCCCAAGCCATAATAGAGAGCTGGTTCAATTCCGGTGGAGCAGGCAGAATTAGAACCAGGCCCATATGGGATGCCTGCGCTTCAGGCCAGGACTTTAACCCGCTGTGCCACAGTGCCAGCCCCTTTCTCTCTCTGTCTCCCCATCTCTGTGTAACTCTGCCTTTCAAATAAATAAATCTTAAAAAAAAAAAAAGAAGTAAGGGTTTGGCATGTGTTTGTTGGCTAAATGAACACACGATGCCAGTTCTGATGGTTAATTCAGGATCTTTGGCGTCCTTACTTTTATGTCTTTAATGAGAGGTTGCCATCTGTTCCTTGCCTTGTGGGCCTCCCCAGCACAGCTGTTGACTTCATCAAAGCCAGGTACGTGGGACAGTCTTCTACGACACAATCATATAGTTACAGCTCATCACCTTTGACACACTGTGCTGGTTAAGAGCAAGTCATAGCCCTTGCCCAGGCTGGGGAAGGGGTTCACACAAAGATGAGATCCCTGGAGGGTGGAGATACCGAGGGTCAGGCTTCCTGGCTCCATGGCTCAAGACTGCCATGAACTTTAAGCATTTTAGTAATCTCCAAGCCTGTTTTCTCTTCTATAAAAGGAAAAATGCATGTACACTTTTATCCTAGAGTTGTTCAATTCTGGCAATTCCTAATTTCCAGCCATTCTTGAGCCATTTTTATTTTTATCCAATTTGCATGCCTCATTTAATGACATTTGCTAACTATTTAATTATAAACCCTTTAAAACGGAAATCAATTAGCTTAAAGAAGTAAATTTAATAATACCACCAGACATTCAGAAAGAATCAGCATTGCCAGATAATTAATTGTAAACATATACATTACCAGTAATGAAAATGTTTGTATCACCCTGAAATTCCTCCCTCAATTAACTTGTATACATGCACCCTCAATAAAACACTGAAAAATATCAATGTAATACACTTAATATAGTGCCAAGCACACAGATGGTGCTTAATAAATGTAAGCTATTTTCAGGGTGCTTAAAAAGTTCATAGAAAATGGAATTAAAAGATAAAGTTTATTTGAGTGCAAAAAAGTGGAAATTAATACATACAAAGGCTCTTCAAAATGTTAATAGAAAGTGCATATTACTAAAAAATCTATGTGTGGATTTCAATTTACTGTTATAAAATAAGCCTTATTTTCACTCCATTTTTCCATGCACCTCTGAAGTACTGTATTTTGTGTGTAGGGCAGGCAAAATAAGACTCAGGCTGTGAGTCTCTCTTCTGGCACCTTTGGCAGACAATATTGACTAATCATGGTCTCTTTCCTGCTACATCTGAACTCAACTTTATTTTTATTCATTTATCTTAAATTTATTTATTTGCAAGCAGACACACACACACACACATACACATCTCTCATGTGTTGCTTCAGTCTTTAAATGCCTACAACAGTCAAAGGTGGGCCAGGCTGAAGCCAGGAGCCAGGAATTTAATCCAGGTCTCCAACTGGTGGCAGAGACCTAACTACTTGAGCGATCACCTGCTGCCTTCCAGTGTGTGCAGTAGCATGAAGCTGGAAGTGGGGGTGGAGACACAACTTGAACCTAAGCACTTGCATATGGGATGCAGGCATCCCAAGTGGTGTCCTAACCACACACCAACCACCCACCCCTTACCGTGCCTCTCAGTGCCGTGCTTCAGTCAGCCATCAGCAAGCAACTGATGCTGGCACAGAGCAGAGCAGAGTTACAGCCCCACGCACAAGTGTTCTTACGTGACTTCAGCTAACAGAAGGCCATTTGGGAAAACTGTACCTTGACAAGCATAATAAATGAACTGCAGGGGAAATTAGCTTATTAAAAAAGAAACAAATGCAAATAAAAAACCAAAGCATTTGTTTTTCAAGTATGTGTAGTCAACTCTTGGCTCGATATTAGCTTTGGCTTCCTGGGCTGTCTTCTCCCACAAGCTGGGCCATCCTCATCACCTCCCCTCTCTGTTCACATGTGCAAAAGTGCCTTTCTCACTAAAGCAAAACACATTTGGGGAGGAAGAAGTTCCTGCTGTGCAAATCCTCCAGTTAATTCTGAAGCACTGGCACTTAGCTGTGGACACTGCTTGCAGGGTGCGGGTGCAGGACATCCGGATGATTAAGAATTCTACAAATACTTTGTTGCTGATTAGAGTTGTTCAGCAGGACAGAGCAATCATGGAGCAGCAATAAATGGTTAGTTATTTGGATTGGTATCCAATCCAGGAGATTAGAGAAAGCTCAACAAATTAGGCTGAATCATCAGTGCAGCTTTGGCTTATCCTAAATACTTGATGATAGATTAATCGATTTTTAGGTATTTGAGCACCATAAAGTGTAAGGAAAAAAGCAAGGACTGTGGGGGTAAGAGAGACCAGGTTTTCTACTTACTGTGTTTCTTCAACTAAAATATTTAAATTCTCCGAGGCGACTAAAAATGAAGTTATGTAAGAAATAGTTGAGGCAAAGGAATGAAGAGGGTCTAGAATGTGCTTTAAAATATTAGTTACCCTATTCAAATATTTGTACACTTCAGTGGGTTACTGAAATTTAAGGGGTCTTCAAAAAGTTCGTGGAAAAGTAAAATTGAAAGGTGAATTTATGTGTTGCAATTTTTTTGAAATTCATGCATGCTTTTTTCTGTAATGTTTTTGAGGACTCCTTCAGAGATTCTTAAACAGTATGTGAAATCTCAAAACTGTTAAATGTTGGTACATTAAAACAAACAAACAAACAAACAAAAAAAAAAACCGTGATACTTGTTGAAGACTCATAATGGACCAGATAGATTCTGATGTATTATTTCTTTTTTTTTTTTTTTTTTTGACAGGCAGAGTGGACAGTGAGAGAGACAGAGAGAAGGGTCTTCCTTTGCCGTTGGTTCACCCTCCAATGGCCGGCGCACCGCGCCTATCCGAAGGCAGGAGCCAGGTACTTATCCTGGTCTCCCATGGGGTGCAGGGCCCAAGTACTTGGGCCATCCTCCACTGCCCTCCCTGGCCACAGCAGAGAGCTGGACTGGAAGAGGGGCAACCGGGACAGAATCCGGTGCCCCGACCAGGACTAGAACCCGGTGTGCTGGCACTGCAAGGTGGAGGATTAGCCTACTGAGCCGCGGCGCCAGCCAATGTATTATTTCAACGCATTCTCAGTAACCCTATGAAGTACATTCTGATCGTTCTCTGCTCCGTGAATGAGGTAACCACAGAGAGATCAGAATCACTTGCCCAGTGCCACAGAGGGGCTGGGATTTAAACAGAATCTATCTCCTTCCAGCATTCAGTTTTTAACCACTTGTTAAACTACCTGTCTCTGTTTTTCTTTGAACTTATTTTGAAATAATTAAAAAATACAAGAATATTACAAAAAATTCCATTGTACCTTTCACTGTCAAAATGTTTAAGATTTTAATGCTTTTTCTTTGTCCTTTTACCCTACTACCCCACACAGTATTTCCTAGTTCTGAGAACAGCTAGGAGCAGTATATCCCAGAAGCAGTGAGCATACCCAGAAGAAGCTCCTGGCTCCTGGCTTTGCTATTTGGGAAGTGAAACAGAGGTTGGAAGATCTCCTTCTCTGTCTCTCTCTCTCTAACCCTACCTTTCAAATAAACAAGTCTTTAAAACAACAGAAAAGGAGCCTCTCTTTTTTTTTTTTCCTCTTCTAAGCAGATTAATCATCTTTTTTTTTTTAACTTTTATTCAATGAATATAAATTTCCAAAGTACGACTTATGGATTACAATGGCTTCCCCCCAATACCGTCCCTCCCACCCACAACCCTCCCCTTTCCCACTCCCTCTCCCCTTCCATTCACATCAAGATTCATTTTTGATTATCTTAATATACAGAAGATCAGCTTAGCATACATTAAGTAAGGATTTCAACAGTTTGCTCCCACACAGAAACATAAAGTGAAAAATAATAGATGATTTTTTTAAATGATGATGAAATCAGATCAGACCTATTGTCATGTTTAATTCCAGTGAGAGTCAAGTTGGGAATTGATTTTTTTTTTTTCAGAAGATCAGTTTAGTATGCATTAAGTAAAGATTTCAACAGTTTGCACCCCCATAGAAACACAAAGTGAAATATACTGTTTGAGTACTCAGGAGTACTCGGATATGGGATGTGGACGTTCCAGGCAGCTGCTCCAGCTGCTATGCCACAGTGCCCGCCCTTTAAAGAGTGCCCGCTCTTTAAAAAAAAATTTCAGTGGGGCGGGCACTGTGGCATAGCAGCTGGAGCAGCTGCCTGGAACGTCCAAATCCCATATCTGAGTACCTGTTCATGTCCAGGCTCCTCTATTTCTTTTTTTTTTAAGATTTTTTTTTATTTATCTGAAAGAGTTACAGAGAGAAAGAGAGGGAGAAGTAGAGAGGGAGGGAGAGATCTTCCATCTGCTGGTTCACTCCCCAGGTGGCCGCAACGGCTGGACCAGGCCAAAGCCAGGAGCCAGGAGCTTCCTCCGGGTCTTCCACGTAAATGGCAGGAGTCTGAGCACTTGGACCATTTTCTGCTGCTTTCCCAGGACACTAGCAGGGAGCTGGACCAGAAATGGAGCAGCCAGGACTTGAACCAGCACCCATACGGGTTGCTGGCATCTCAGGTGCCACTACACATGGCAGCGGCCTCAGCACAAAAATCTTGGTTTCCAAATGGCATTGTCTACTGAAGAAATAGGTGACACCAGCCTGGGACAGGTAAACACAATCAGCTTGGGAAATCCTCTTGTTCCAGAAAGTGAGTACT